AAGACCTTCATGATGTTCCTCAGGCTCAGAGCTTATACTTGTTTGGCTATCTTCTACTTTGCAATCTTCTTTTGTTATGACGTGTACAAGAACAGGACCCGTGGATTTCAGTGATGCAACTTCACGTAAAACACATACAAGGTCCTCAATGTTGTGGCCATCTATTGGGCCAATATAGTACAACCCAAGCTCCTCAAATAGAGTCGATCCAGTAGGGCCAACCATACCACGTGCATACTCATCCACTTTTGCAGCCCACTCGTGCATCCCATGGCCAATTTTCTTCGTAAGAACCTGACACATACAACATTTGAGTAGGAAAATAGTGGAAAAGAAAAGGGTGAAAAAGAAACATATTTTCTTTCACTCGAGTACACAGAAATCTTCAAGAAGTCTTTACATTGAGAAACTAGAAAAGTAATTCAAATTATGCGTTCTAAGATTCTGCTGAGAGATCCTCCACTTGAGTACTAAAACATAATAACAAACTTACATTATATCGAGTAAAAATAATTTTATAAACAGTGGCTAAGGGGAAAAAAGGATTAGATTTCTCATTAATGAATCATTTTCTTTTCTTCTAATCTCCTGATACTGAATCCTATGCATTTTCAGCTGCATGCATGAACACGGGGTAGCATATGGTACCTACCTTAAGAGCTCAATAGGGTTTTATAACTCAAGTATTTTTTTTATTTATTTATTTATCAAATTTCAAACATTGAAAATCATAATTGGACGGAGAAGTAGTCTTTTTTATGATATACGGCCGGCCAGGTCAACCATATCCTTCCCTATGATATCGTTACTTACAAAAGGTGGGATAAGAATGAGTCAATACCTTAGCAAATTCTCTAAACGTCCAGAAAAATTTACTTGATTGAAGCTTGCTCAGAGTAGTTGACAAAGCATTGATTGATGCCTTGGGGACTTGCTCGAATTTTGGATCTAAAGAGTGATGACTATCATTCAATATCACAATCATATTCGAATCCAAGTGACCTGCATTACTCATAGCCTCGTAAACTTGGCCAGCCGTGGTTGTCTCGTTGCTGATAACTGCAACTACACGTTCTTTTTTTCCTTTAATATCCCGTGCAACTGCCATTCCTGGATGGAAAAAGGAAAAGAAAAGTAAATCAAAAATTGTTACAAAATTATTTCAAATCATAACTAGGCCCTCAGTTTACAGTAAACTAGGCTTGCAAAAATTATTGGCGTCATTGCAAGAACCGAACTTGAGGCCAGACTTAATCACAAACAAAATAACCTCAAACTTTTAATTACCTCTACAAGTTTGCATTTTCTTAATAGGTGCATAACCATTGACAGTACAATTTGTATAATAGAAATAAATATCACGAGGTGTTGTAGTAATGTAGGAATATAACTGAGGTTGCAGATATTATGAAAAAAATTAATTAGACGCATTATACTGAATAAACTACAAATCGATTTCATGATACCAAGTCCAGAAGATATGCTGCTACATCCATGTCCTGCGCCAAGTGGATCATATGCACTAGATGTATAGCTTGATTGATCACCTGGTGTTCTATCTTTATAATTTAAAGGCCTTCTCCCAGTTAGAAGTTTATGTGGATATGTCTGTTTATATCAATGGAAGGACAAAACCAATATAAGAAAATGAAGGCCAAACCTATGCCATGATACGAAAACTGAATTCATATCTGTTCAACATGTCAAGGATCGGTGGATAAACAACTCTTACTTGATCCTCCATATCCCACAGTATTTTGTCAAGGGGGCAACTAAAAACATGATGAATAGCAACAGTTAGTTCGACGACTGATAGACTGGCTCTAACTGATTTTTGTGTTTTTGATGATATAAACAACAATTCTGACTGAATGTCATCAGCTAACTGCCTTAATTCCTGCAAGATAAAACCTTACATTAGGCACATCTGACAAAACTTAACTTAAACTTATGAGTAGGAAAACTATCCTGAAAGTTGCCAAACCTTTGAAGATAGGTTTTTTAAATTCATGGGGCTTTCAATCATATCGAGCATAGGTGTGGGCATCTTCTCGTTCATGGAACCATCATCGTTCAATAAACAATTTACTCTACCACCATATTCCTACATCGAGAAATGTCACGGTGCACAGATATAAAGAATTTGCATCTATCTATATATATATATATATATGTACGTATATATGATGGAAAGGGAAAAAAATGTCTACAGAAGCAATGGAGCAATAACAGAAACTCCTCAAACTATAACTTGAGAACAAAAGTCTGAAACAGCTAAAGAAATAAATGATCTGAAAAATTGCACCTAATAAACAGCTAGTACATAGACATCCGAATGGTAGAGCTAATGGGGTCAAAATCCATGTGATCGACAATAAGTGGAATATCTCATCAAATCAAGATTGCACATCCTACATGCCATAGTCAAATATTCTTAATGAATAACCAGAGAATGTGAGGATATGTGAGCATGTGAGGATGTAAACTTTTTAGTTGCACAAGAAGCAAACTGCAATGGAAATTACACAAAATCACATCATTTCTCTTCAAACAAAATGACGGAAAACATCATTTTCTTATCAATTATTAGAACTAAGCAGACATACCAAATTAGATGATTTAAGCCAACAACTTAGGTGCAATATTAAATTTACTCGAGCAACAGATTATACATGTATAGCAGCATATTTAATGCTCTGAAAAACATTGTCACATGATATACTGTTCTTGTTGGAACTCCACAATCAGTACAACTTATTTCAATCAGGTACCACATTGTAAATAAACAAATGCGAAATATTCTGTGTCCTAAATAAATACTTATCAATATCTAAGGAGAGTATTAATAGCCAGTATCAGCTACTTGTACAAGCAAACATACACGCTGAATGGAAAATAAACAACAGAAAGTGCTTAGATACAGAGGCCAACACCTTAGAAGTAGAGGTGGAAGCTAAATTCGGGTAAAAATCGAGTCTTGGAAAGTCCACACTTGAAGGGAAAGTGATACTTGAACATTCCATCTTAGAGGCCCAGAATCTTGAATTTTCCCGAAAGTGAGAATTAATCAGTAATGGGTTGTAAGCACCGGCCATGGAGCAAGAATGAAGGGCAACAAAATTGGCAACAAGCTGGGTAAGGGAAAAAAATATAAAATCAAGAAAACTGTACAACCAGAGTAAAATAGTATGTACTCTATAACTTCATCAGGGAATTGATTCTATCAAGTCGTCTCTCTGGTTGAAGCCCATTAGATTTTTGAGTGCGAGATGGTGGACAAGCAGGGAATATAGATGTGATGCGATGAGGTGATAGATTGCGTGACGTGGACGACGCGATAAGGATTTGTTGGAAAAATTGTTGACCAAATGTAATAGATTAGGGTGTAGCTACAAATATTTTCTACTTGCACTACTAGATTAGAATCGATTTGATTGGTTAGAGAGCATAACTTAACTAATACAATACTCACGGGTACTTAAGACCATGCTTGGATACAAAAGAAAAATCCGATTTAGCCCAACAAAAACTAAGAGTGGGTTTTTTATTTTCGCTGTTCACTCTTCCGACATTTTCTGCTTTCTTATCCAAAGCCCACTGAAAGTAAGCCCTACTATTGGCCCATATGTTATAGGTCTGTTGTAGGGGAATGTACATAACTAACCTCTTCATAAAAAACAATTGCATAAAATTGACCGAATGTACACAATTCCAAATATACTTGAATAGGAAGTTACAATATTTAAAAATTCAACTGCTCTCATCTTTTTCTCTCTCTCTTCGTTTCTCTCTCTTCCTCTTTTTTCTTTCTCTCTTTCTTCTCACTCTTACATCTCGTTCCACTTTTTCTTCTCTCTTCTTTCCTTCTTCTTCTTACCTAAGAATAAAAAAAAATCAATATGTTATATATATACATGTAACAATTAAATTAAATAAAAGCATGAAAAATTTGTTAAATTAAATTAACAACAACAATAAGAAAAATAAAATAAAATGCATACATATAAATTATAGTCATTCAAAAAATCGGATGAATACGAAGAATTAAAAAAGCATTAAATGTAACAACAGAAAAATAGCATAACAATAGTTAATCGACATGAAAACAACATTTATATAACATAAAAACAACTGTTATCGTATAAATAAAAAAGCACATTTGAAGAGTATACTCGATCCCATGGCTTTGGCACTCGAAACAGACCCAATATCTAAAGACATCAAACACAACAAATTATAAAAGTAGATAACAAATTGGAAACCCAATAAAAATTGCAATTAATGTTTAGCAAAGCACAATAGATAAAAATATAAAGAAGAAAAGGAAATCGCCTCTCTATATCTCTAGACAAACAGCAAAATAGAGATTTCATGAAGACCATATGAGATCATGAAAAGAATAACCTAAAAAAAAAAGAAAAATACCGAGTTTCAATTCCCTCCGGCCCTCCTAATCGGCTTGCACTGAGTCTTTCTTCCAATCGACAACGACGGAAAAAAAACAGCCAAGGAATGTGACAAATTGGGGGAATATTTTGGGACTGGATCTGGGAAAAATTATATCTGAGAGAAAAAATTTTGGGAAACTTTTTGAAGAGAAGTAAGAAACAAAAAAATAAGTACGGGAAGAAGACACACAAGGAGGAAGAAGAAAATGATGAATAAAAAAAATAAAAACTGAAACAATGGCGTGTTAAATAAAAAAAACTGGCACACTCAACTAATAAAAAATTAATTATAAAAAGATGTGGGAAACGGTTTTTAGAGGCAGATAAGGCTACAAAAAAGAGTATAAGTGGAAGCATAGTCTCCATTATTGATTAAATGATATTCAGTTTCATTTATGTAAACAATTTTTAATAAGAGATAAGGGGTGTCAATTATTCTCTGTTGTAGCCTGGTTTAAGTGAGGCCCTTCATTAATTGAATGGCAAACCTGTTTTTGTTGAAATTAATTAAAACTGAAGCCCAGTGTAGTAATTGAAACATGTTGAACTTAGGCGCTCCACTAATCGTAGTGGTCACTTTTATATTGACAAAAATTTCTTGCATGACCATGTACGTGGTCCAAAAATGGACAGAGAATGAATGAAAAAAAACAAAAAAAAAATGTAACATACATACTGCCGTTCGCATGAGATACCATAAAATCAATTCAAAAATTACATGGCTATAATTTTTACAATGGCTACTACACCACATAAAATGCCAATGTTAAAAAATAAAAATAAATAACATATTGGCCACCCGAATAACATTAATAACGGAGCAATTAGAGTCGAGTTGTTCGCGACTGAGTTGTTCGTGACTGGTTCTCTCCGTATGTTAGATGTTCCAGAGTACTGTGTTGCTGTTAGATTGATCTGTATCTGATTTGTATGAGAAAGGAACAAAAGGCGAGAGAATAGTCGGATAGAAAGGGAAAGAAAATATCTGTGTTGATATAAAATGTGAATGAATGAATTGTACAATGTGACCCTTAGTATTTATACTTAGGGTTTGGTAATGAGGGAATACAAAAGCGTGTTTATCAAAAAGGCAACTAATACACACTATTACATAATTACTTAAAGGTAAAATACATTATATAATCTAACACCCCCCCTCAAGAGGGGCATGGATGTTTAACATGCCCATCTTGCAAATATTGTCATGGAATGCTTGAATGCCCAATGGTTTTGTGAAAATGTCAGCAACTTGGTCTTTTGAAGGAACAAACTTCAAGTCAATGATGCCTTTGGAAAGCTTCTCTCTCACAAGGTGGCAGTCAATTTCAATATGTTTTGTTCTTTCATGTTGGACCGGGTTGTTGGCAATGGCTAATGCATATTTGCTATCTGAAAAAATGATCACAGGATATGAATGAGGAATTTTTAAATCATGAAGAAGATATAATAGCCATTGTGCTTCACAGGTAGTAGATGCTAGTGCTCTATATTCAGATTCAGCAGAGGATCTACTAACTGTGGTTTGCTTTTTGGATTTCCAGGAAATTAAAGAAGAACCAAGGAAGAAAGCATAACCTGTAATGCTCTTTCTGGTGTCAATACACCCAGCCCAGTCACTATCACTAAAACCAAGTAAAGACAATGAAGAGTGTCGAGGATAGAAAATACCTTGGCCAATTGTGTGCTTGATATACCTTAGAACCCTGTGGGCTGCACTCAAGTGCTGTTGTGTAGGAGCTGACATGTGTTGACTTAATGCTTGAATACAAAAAGATAAATCTGGCCTAGTAATGGTAAGATAAAGCAATCTACCAACAAGTTTTCTATAAGAAGTGGCATCAACTAAAACAGAATCATCAGAACAGGTAGATGTCAGTTTCAAGTTGGAATCCATTGGAGAATTAGCAGGTTTGGATCCAAGAAAACCAGTATCAATTAAGATATCTAATGCATACTTTCTCTGGCAAAGATTGATGCCTTTTTCAGAGTGTGCTACTTCAATTCCAAGCATGTATTTTAACTGACCTAGATCCTTAATAGTAAAACAGACATCAAGGTGATGTTTAACAGAATTTATTTCAGTCATGTCATTCCCAGCAAGGATTATGTCATCTACATATACCAATAAAGCAGTAAATGAATCAGTGCAGGATTTAATGAACAAACTACAGTCAGCAGAAGATTGATTATAACCAAAATCAAGCAAACAGGAAGTAAGTTTTTGAAACCACTGTCTAGATGCCTGTTTAAGGCCATACAAACTTTTGACAAGTTTACAAACTTTATTGGAATTATCAGTAACATATCCAGGGGGAGGAGTCATGTAAATATCTTCATCTAAGTCACCATGAAGGAATGCATTATTAACATCCAATTGTTGAAGAAACCAGTTTTTAACAGAAGCAATAGATAAGAGTACTCTAACAGTTGTAATCTTAGCAACAGGAGAGAATGTATCAAAAAAATCAATACCTGCTTCTTGGGTGTATCCCTTTGCAACTAATCTAGCTTTGTACCTGCCCAATGAGCCATCAGAATTGTATTTGACTTTGTATACCCACTTACACCCAATGCAGTTTTTACCAGGAGGTAAATCAGTTAATATCCAAGTGTTAGTGGCCTCTAAAGCATTAAGTTCCTTGGTCATAGCATCTTGCCAATTTGGATCAGTAACAGCTTGCTTATAGGTTTTGGGTTCAGGTATAGTACTGATGGATGCAGTAAAGCATGAATGCATAGGACTTAATCTATTTGTGGATAGATGATTGTGTATGGGATGAAGGGATGTACCAGAAGTGACAATCTGTGTATCAGTAAAGGAAGTATTTGAGGTAGGAGGTAAAGAATGTGTGTATATATTAAGGTAGGAAGGTGGCTTTTTGGATCTGGTAGATCTTCTAAGGGAAGTTTGAGATATATCTGTTGGTTGTGATGTGGAGGTATTTCTTGGTTCTGGTGTGGGCTGTGATGATGGTTGTGATGCATAAATTGTAGGTATAGGGTTTGTAGTGGGTATGTTTGTGTTATGAGTGGGTTGTGATGGGTGAGATACAGGGTAATCATGGATAAAGGAAGATTGTTGGGGAAACATAAGGTCAGGTAGGTTAGAAATGTGATTGTCTTTGAAAGGAAACACAGATTCATAAAATGTCACATTTCTGGTAATCAATGTAAGCTTGGTTTCCAAGTTGTAAAGCTTGTAACCTTTACAACCCAATGGGTAGCCAAGCAAAATGCATTTGGATGATCTAGGTGCAAATTTAGATCTATGAGATGATAATGTGGATGCATAACATAAGAAGCCAATCACTTTTAAATGATCATAAGTTGGCTGTTTATTATAAAGAATCTCAAAAGGACTTTTGTTGTTCAAAATTGATGATGGTACTCTATTAATGATGTGAACAGCAGCCAAGACACAATCCATCCAAATTTTTAATCATATTGTAAAAATGAACAATGTGATGAGATGTATCAGATTTGGCAAGTAAGGGGTAAATCCAAGTTGTTCTGCTATGATCATCCACAATTGTAAGGAAATATTTATGACCAGCATATGAAGGGACTGAAAAAGGACCCCAAATGTCACAGTGAACAATATCAAAAGGAGAAGAAGCTGTAGAATTACTTACAGTATAGGGCAGCCTCCTTTGTCTAGAAAAATGGCAAATATCACAAGGTTTAACATCAGAAACATTGCCTTTATTTACAGAAATTGGGAGCTGAACAAGTTTATGAAAAGAAAGATGTCCAAGTCTAAGATGCCAAACAGTGGCATTTGAAACAGAATTATTGGAGTCTGAAAAATTACAAAAACTATTACAATCTTTATTTTGAAGACTAAGGTGATATAGACCATTCTTAGCTTTAGCAAAACCAATCATTCTGTTGGTGTTCAGCTCCTGCAATTTGCAGTAAGTGGAGAAAAAACTGACTTGGCAATTGTTTGTGATTGTTAATTTTGAAACTGAAATCAAATTGAAGGTGAAAGTAGGAACAAAGAGTACATTGTGTAGTACAAGATTAAGGCCCAGATTTATC